CTGGTACATACCGGCTTTGTCCCCGCCTCGAGCCGCGCATCGTGATGCTAGTGATCACAATCCTGGTACTCGGCCCGAATCGGTGTTGGATCGACTGCCACCGCCTCGTCCCCTTGCTCCTTTCGCGGCACACGGAGGACGAGAGCCAGGACAGACGACGCCCACGACGCCTGATTCGGATTCTGATGGTTCGGTACATCCGCATCCAGGTGCCTCGTCGTTCCGGCCGTCGCCGACGGTGGTTCATGGTCCTCGTGAACTTCTACAAGAATTTACCATTGCACTTCGCAATGCATACCGTGAACCTTTCACGGCATGGACACAGGGCGAGCTGGATGAAATGGTGAGACGGAAGAAAGATAAGGATTCCAGGCCCACCTATAAGACCATTGCGCGGTTTCTTCAGAAGCCGATTGAGGAAGTCAAGCAGGCATGGAAGGTCTATCAACAACTTGAGGCTCGCGGCTAGGAACATGCCCGGCAAATGCAGCAGCGACCATTGGTGGACCAAATGATGAGCGGCGGCGGTGTGTCCGGTTCGAGTTGTTGACCGCATGATATTTGCTTGCTTGCACGTGACTCATTCTTGCTTGTCGTGTTGTGTGATGTCGTTGATGCAGTGCTGTCTTGCCGGAGTTGCTCAAATCATGTCAGAACAAGTTGTACAGACGTACATTACCTGGACCCATGGAGCGCAGCCGACGTGGTTGCAATTTCATGGACCCGGTGCTTTACTCGACAGACCCATTCGGCTGACTACGTCGCCTCCGCCCCCGCCAAGTCTGCCATTGCTTCTTCCACCTCCTCCTCCACCACCACCTCCTCCTCCACCACCACCACCACCACCGGTGATTCTACACCCACAGTTTATGCCCTCGGTACGCAGCCCTTCGATCTCAGCCCCTCGCGGACAATCCTGCCCTACCTCTTCGAAATCGCAGCGCACACGCCGCTCGATCTACAGCACTGACCCTTCCCGTGATGAAGTACCACGCAGTCCAGGGCGCTCGTCCAAGCGATCTCGGACGGCATCAGCTTCAGCGCCGCGGCGATCTCGACGACCCTTTACAGTGTTTTATTCCAAACGTGCTGGCCGTCCATCGCAACCCCCATCGGCAACATGCAAGCATTACTTCGAAGTGGTAGACCTTGCGCCATTCCCGATAGTCGGTCGGGTCATCCGGGGCTGGTCCCAGGGTGTCAGGGGCTACCGGATGCCACTGACCCGGTACATAGATTCGAATCCATTCCACCCTCGTTCCTGCTGGCCCATTGACGATGTCATAGTCAAAATAGCGAGGTAGGACCCATCGTGCTGCACCCTGCACCGTACTATTGAACATTTCAGCCCGACAAGCTGCTCAAGGTTTTCACGGAAAGCGGCGGACACAGAGAGACAACATGCACAGCACCAAGCAAGACAACCCAATGAGAACTCACATACAAAGCAAGCACAACCGCATCTTTATCCAACATGCTACTGAAGTGTCAATCCGAATCATTCCAAGCATCATGGAATGGCGGCGGTGACGGTCCCGCCACGCCCCATCCGGTACCGACGAGCCCACCGAGGACTCGATGTCTGCATTGGCGAGCATCGCGAGTCCGATGGATTGGACAGGAGGTCCAAGTCGTTGGTACCCTCGCGTTTGCCAGTCTCGGTACTCCCACACGTGATAGGACACATAGGAACTGGGCGTGGCTATAGGATCCATTGTGGTGCCTCCGGTGCTGTCTTCAGACCAGTACACTTGGAAGTGATATGATCTGCGCCACTCCCGAAACGTGGAAGCGTAAAGTGGGTCCGGAACTGGCGCCTCCTCAGGAACGGGCCTCCAAATGCCCGGAGAGTAAATTCGAACCCATTCCACTCCTCTATCGATCTGGTACTCGAAATACTGGGGGTTCATAGCAGCAATACGGGCTTGCACGACTGCTAAACCAATCGAACGTCTGCGGCAAGGACACACATGCATGGCCAACCGCACACATCCACTGAGGAGCAAGGCAACTTTTCAAACACAAGGTGAAACAGATCAACAAGGTCTGAAATGTCCGACACCTGGCTTTCACTGTCTTTGATGTCGCGCACACCTGCAATGATAGTGACCTGGTCGTCTACGAGCACAAGGGGAAAGACATTTCCGTCCATGGCGCAGGATGGCGTGACAGGGAAAGCACGGGCGGCACAACTACAAGCGCGGTTCTACAACCGGTATCCTACGCCACCTTCTACACTTGGTATTACAGGGACTGGGTCACCAGGGGGTACCAACGCCTGGGTCGTCCACATCCCAGCATAGCGAGGCCAGTTTTCGCTTCGGGTGCACCGGACCTCATGTATGCTGGAATGACCTCCTCCTCGGCATCATCTAATTCACATGATAGCTGATGCCCGTCCTCGCCCCCCTGGAGAGTCTGACTTTGATGTTGACGCCGCACAGTGATACAAAAGTGGTCTTTTGCATTTTGATAGTTGATTTGCTTTTACTTGTTGTTGTCTGCAGCCGTACACCTATCAACTTGTCTTACCGTGGTTGCGGTGTCATGGCGTGGCTGGAATGGTGCCCGGATCCTCAACAACCAGATGCCCAGTGGGTCAAGATCTTTCATCCGGGACCATGGACGCCTCAAGAAGAACATGATGCTCCACCTCCTCCGCATACTTTTAGAGAATGGCGGGAGTTCTATGCTCCCAACCAGGACTCAGTCGAAGGGCAAGTCCAAGTCACTACGTGGTACAAACGAGACTGGGCCACTGAAGGCTATCGGAGAATCGCTGCCCCCCACGCTGGTCATGAATTTGATTCCATGTATCCCTCCGATCACCACAGCGTGGCCACGCAGTCTGCGGCATTGAGTATGTCACCGGAGCTGTTAGACGCGATTCTCAGGTCCTCGGATGCGGCTGATTTCTCCACTGAAGAACTGACTCGTCTCCAGGAGGGGATTTCTCAACAACTGACAGCCCGCGCACGTCAGGCTTCCCACCCTCATCAACCAGTACGTGCATCGCGTGGAAACACTCCGTCGGAGACGATTGGGGTCTCCGATCCCTACAGGCCCGTGAATCCGTCCGACAGCGGCCAAGACAAGATGAGGCCCGTCTTCGAGCTGACTGAAGACTAGACATGCATGAGCAGCGCAGCGTACAAAATAAGGGTGGCCTCTACACTTGCATGATCTTGCTTTGCTGTTGTTTGAACATGGTTGTGCATGGTGCTTGTTTATCTACTAGCTGGATCGGAGCCCGCGACCATCCTTGCCTCTTGCCTCAACATGGACATCGATGAGTCCAAGCAGTCTCCATGGCTCGAATATTCGGTCTGGCATGATCAGGAGTGGGTGCGGATATACACTCCGGGAAAACCTCAACGATGGCACCGTGGTGACACCGTACCTGATCTACCTGAAAATTCTTTTCGTGAATGGCAGCGGGTGACGGATCCTGATGCGCCAGTCCAGGCATGGGACATCCGTGACTGGCAACACCAAGGGTACCAGCGCATTCTGTCTCGGATTGAGTCCTTCGCAACTCACTATTCACATGATCAGACTCTTGGTCAAGGTCACAACTCCGATGCCGTTCAAGTTGAGGAGACCTTTACCTATGCCACTCCGTTTTCTCATGGTGATCGCCCGGCTGCTTCGCAGGTCGCTTCAGTCCTCTATGGCGACACTCGCAATGCTCAACGTTGTGATCTTTCGTTCCCGTCTTCTGAGCGGTTTAGGGCAGTGTCTCGCTCCCCTCGCCGTGGAGGATATTTTGGTCAACGATAGAGATTTGAGTTTGAGCATGTGATCTTCCTGCAGAAAAAGAGAAACCTCGCCCCTCGTAGAGGGGCGTGTGTGTGCGGAGTGGCAGAAAACCCTGCCACCACAACAGTTTCCGTAGCAGCAGGGGCAGGGGGGCGATGGTTCCTTTGGTGTGCATCGCCCAACGAAGACCGCACCATTGGATCGTGAAATCAGTCCAGGACGCTGGACTGACGTACCTGCCGTGATGCAACGTCCTTTTGGCCCCCTTGGTTGCGGCGCTGTTTGTGCTTCTTGTTCTTTCGGGTAACGTTTTCGACACTAGAGTGAAACCGAGTGTATTGCAAGCCGAATCCCACCCACTCGAGACTCATCAGTTGTACTCGAGACTCATCAGTTGTACTCGAAAGATTAGCACTCTCCATCTGGAGTTTAAGTGTGTGTGTGTGTGTGTCTGGGGGTGTGTCTGGGTGTGTGTGGGTGTGGGTGTGTCGTGTGTGTGCGTGTGCGCGTGCGCGTGCGTGCATGCTTGCGTGCTTGCGTGCTTGCGTGCTTGCGTGCGTGAGAGGGGTGGGTGGGTGGGTGGGTGGGTGGGTGGGTGTGCGCGTATTTACAGGAATTTGCTTCCTGTTGCGCATCAGCCCAAAAAGTGTACTCTGAAAAATGACAGTTTCCCGTCGCTTTTCTTGAAGGCAACTTGTTTTTGTCTAACCGTTGTACACGTGAACGCCACATATCACATATCACTTGCGCGTTGTCTCCTCTTCGTGTCCCTTTCAAAGATCCAAACAGGGATTCCAATCATTGGAGACAGGGACTATCATTTTTAGATTACGTCGCAGATTTCTGGAAAATGATTTGGATGCGCATTTGGAGGATTTCGCCAGTTCTTCCTCCTGTTGGTCCTTGTTTAGTACTCTTTTAGGACTGTTTTTATATCCTATTGGGGTGGATCCACAGTACGCCACATCCAAACCACTTTCTAGAAGATTGGGTAGACAGCGACCAAAGGCCTGTGGCGTTTACACAGTTTACTATTTTGCTGCATATACTCGTTTGCTTCCTGTTGTTTGGTGGCTGCCAATCCTGCCAACACCGCCAGAGGGGGTGAAAGGTCCCCATACCCCCAGTTTTAGTTTTTCATTCCTGTGCACCCGAACAGGTCCCACAAAGAGCATCTCGTTTTGGCAACGCATTTCGCTTTTCCTTAGCGCGCAAAAGCACCTCCTTCGGCGTGTCTGGAGGCGCTCCGCAAGTGGGGCGGCGCCGGCTTTAAGGCAGGGAACTTGGGGGAATTTGATGCGCAGAGGTGGTTCTTTTGAGGGGAGCCCGGAACGCAACCAAAAGGGAGTTGTTCAGGTTGAGGGTTGGGAAGCCCTTTCGGAGGGCACTTGTTGTTTTTGTGGTACCTCGGATGTCTTGGGTTAGTAGGGGTACCCACGTCTCTGTTTCACCTAACGCCTTGGGCTCCAAGAACGGCTCCGGCTGGGTCTAAAGTGAGCATTAGGGATTTTCAGCTGGCCGACCAATGGGTTGGTTTCCTCCTCACCACCGAAGGGGTCATTGTGCTTGCTTAGATGGAGGTTAGCCTACGCGTTGCAATCGCTTGCAGGAGGCTCAACTGGGGCTTAAGCGATCTTGGTTATCTGGCAACCCACTACGCGATCTTGGATCATCTAAGTTTTCGCTACCCGCAGCGCATGGTGGGCACAAACCCCCGAGTTTCGCTGCGTGTTTTTCGAGGTCGCACGTTTTCGGGCGGGTTAGCAAGGTGCGGGAGGATGGCTTGGCGCTGCGGCCGAAGCCGGGCTTTCAGCAGAACAAGGCGGGGAGGTGGCCCGAACGCTAACAGGGGTTTCCGCCGGTTCACGGTAGGAAACCAGAAACGGGAGGGGGTGGCCCAAGTAATTAGCTCTCAGGGTTTGGACAGGAACCAAGCAGACACCTGGCCAGTTTTGGTGCCCAACTTTTGGACCGCTCTTTTTCTCCAGCGGCAGTCGCTGCGTTGGGCAGTATGTCGGGGTCGCGGGGGAGAGAGGGGTGGCCTTTGTGTTGAGGGGTTCTTGTTTCTTGGATGCTTTAACCCAAGGGCAATTCTTTGTTTATGTGCATCGAACCGTTTGGCCCACCATCGTGTGGCTTGTACACCGGCAATGCTAGGTATTCTGCGCATCATATCAATTGTGGTTGCATTTTTTTTGAATAAGAGACAAACACATTTCCAAGCGGAAGAAGAAGCTTGTCCTTTCAAAGGATACACGTTGTCAAGTACGCATATAGAGAGCCTTTTTGCCCATAAAGCTTCCAAAAGCCGCACTGGAGGCTGTTGGGGACCACGACTGCTTGGGTTTAAAGCCATATCCCGCAATCATCCCTTCAAAGCCCATCTTTGTCAAAGCCCTTACGAGTAGAATCCATTTTTGAAGGATCATGAGAATTCACCGACCAAATCAGAGATGCCTGTGAATGTGTATGAGGCCGGAGGTTCCACATCTTCCCGCGCGATAGCCGCTATGCACCCTTGGTATGAACCGGGAAACCAGCCACCACAGTGTCCCTGGAAACAGAACCAAACAGAATACAGGGAAGGGTACCAGTTCAGCATAAGGAGCCTTAACGGGGGTACCAAACCGCCTCTGTTTTTTTTGTCAGGAGAATCCCCGCAAAAGGAATGCTTAGGCAAGCCGCAGGATCCCGATTGGCCATGGTCCTCAAACACCTTTACCCAGGCCTCCAGTGGTGCTCTCTTTTTTCTCGTGCAGCCTTTATAAAACCTCGTCACCACGACTTCAAGCCATGTACCCTTATAATCAGCAGCCCGAGTAAACTGGATGGATCGAACGTCTGTCGATTTGGAGGTCGTGGCGACCAAATGGAGACCCAAGCGCGAGAACTGGGAAGGCGCGGGCTCGCGGAACATTGCGTGGACTTCCTTGGAAAGGCCTTCCCAAAAGGCTAACCTTCACATTTGGGCTGGACGCGCAGGTAGCGGGTGATGTAGCTCGTTTGTGTCAAGTTCATATTCAATGCTGAAACTTTCATTTGCTTGCAGTGGCTTTGTCCTTCTGCCAGGTTTGCAGAAGAAATGGCCATAAAACACATTCCGGCCACAGAACCTGTCTGGGCTACGTATCACACGCCCAGCTTGGGTCACCGACGACGAGGGGGAGGCCTTTGGCGCGCTCCAGGTGGGCCACGAGGCCCGGAGGAGGGATGGGGTGAGTGCGGTTTTCCAACACCCTGTCCACTTCCATGAGAACGGTGGTTGCTGGGCTGCTGAGTTGCTGAGTTGCTTGCTTGGCTGCTTGCTTGCTTGCTTGCTTGCTTGCTGGTGGCTCCTCACAATTTGTGTTGCATTCCTAGACTGAGACTGAGGGCTGCTGAGCTCGGTACTACCAAAGGTCAACGTTTTTTGGGCGTTGCACCTTGGTCGAATGGAACTCGCTGCAGACCGATTCTTTTGCTCAATGACTCAAGGGCGCATCGCAGGGGCTTGTTCTGCCAGACGTCGAGGGCGGAATCGTTGTCGAGCCAGCCGGTGTGTGGGAATTTGGCCGTTTGGCTGGCATTCCGGCATTCCTGTTTCGCAAAGTAATTGCAGTTTGAGGGTTGTCGAAATGTATTTTGTTGGCATACCAAAGGTTAGGACGATAAATAACAAGGGTGTTACAGCACAGGCTCGTGGAACCTTGGGAGCGACAGAATCGACGGACTGCCCGCTAAAAGAAGACGTCTGGTGCGCCGGCCATGACGAAACATCGCCTTGTAGACGGGAATTTTTGTGTTTGGTCGTATGGTTCCATGTTGAGTGCTGTTGTTCTCTCAGGGGTTTTCACATTGTTAGCAAAACATGGGGATTCTGCTGCACCCGCCAACATATAAGCTCAAAAAACATTGGACACAAAAAGCTGTGGTTTTTGCGACTCTTGCTTTGAACTACACAACAAGCAAAAACAACAACACAACAAGCAGAACACAGCATGTGGCGCTTGCAAACCATCCAAACGGCGGGAGAAACTTGCCATTCCCGTGGGCGTGGCAGAGCGTGATGGGCGCTTCAGTGATTGCGCCGAGATGGTGGCAGGCGGGCTTTCGGGCCAAACACGGCATCCATCTCTCATCCAACAGACACTGCCTGAAAGAACCTCTTACAAATGGTTGTTTCCATTGTAAAAATGTTCCATCGGTTTCCATCGGTTGCAGGTCTCTTAGGAAATGACATCCAAGCCTCTTGAGGCCTTAGCCCTCAAGCCGTGTCTCCCTGCCTCCAGGAAAAGGCCTTCCTTTCGACTCAAGGTTGATGCATGGCTTCGGCCTCGCCCGGCCAATGGTTTCAGCTGGAGACTATATATATATATATATATATATATATTATTGCTTTTACCAGTGCACTTCAGGGCCATAGTTGGGAAATCCTTCCTGAGGGGAGCCGGGAGAATGCCTTTGGTTCCCTCCCTGATGTTGACCCAGGATTGATCAGAACTGGTCGATTTTGATTGGTGAGCGTGCCATTCTTTTGGGGAGGAACTCCCCCGTATCCGCAAGGTTTTGTGATTGGCATTGGGATCCTTTGATTCATGCTTAGAGAAGCAAAGTTGCCAGCCAGACAGTTGCTAAGCCCGGGCAGGCATTAGGGGGCATAGTGTTGACTGTCATACGTATGAGTTTCGGTGAACGTTTGAAGTCTGTGCTTCATTCGGGATTTGGGAGGAGTCTCTAGAACATCCACAAAATCAAGGGCAACTCGCTTATTTGTCAATGTCCATAGAGGGTATAGCAACCTTGACGAACCCAGGCGATGGATATTGAACATTGCTCGAGTCTCCCGTTTTTCATGAGGCACTTTCCGAGTTTCCCAAGAACTGAACTGTCTAGAATGTTTTGCGGAATACGACTGGTGGACATGTTGACTGAACCGAGTAAACCTCATATGGGTTTGGCTTGGGGCCTTATTTGGAGAGACCCGCATACTGTGTCGACGGACAGACCCACAGGTTTAATTCTCCGATTGGCCTCCCCGACATTGACCAATTTCCAGGGGGTTGATTATCTCAACCGAAAGGGAACCCTTTGGGTCGAGGCGCGCCGCTTCCGAGGGCAAACCCTAAACCCGGTTTGTAAGTCTGGTCACATTTTGAGGTGAGAACGACTGCACATGGACTGCATATGGCCCGCGAAAACCAAAAACCTGAGGCGGCAGCGAGTGGCAGGCCTGCTGCGATGCGCTGCGCCCTGGCACCAGACAACCTCAGATAGATCTTTTCTCGGGGCGTTCCAGTTTTTTGCCTGTTTTTGTGGGGAAGACTTCAACCCGGAAATTTCGGGGCATTCCAGTTTTCGGGAAAACTTCAACTCTTCAATTTCCTTTTTCGAGCCATATTTGGCTTTCGGAGCTTTACCCACCCGGGCGATGCACGGGGTGCTTCCGCAGGCGCCTGGGCTTCTGCCGGGGCGTCGGCGTCGGCCGCTTCCGGGCGCCGGGGGCGTGGCAGCTGGCGCTGGAGCTGCGGAAGCGCGGGGTGGAGGTTACGGCCGCAGCGGTGCTAGGCGTGGAGACGTGAGGGGTGTTTGGGGATCTGGACATTCGGAGCTTTTTCTTTTTTTTCTTTTTCTGGGGATCTGGACCCCGGAGAGTCGGAGGATTGTTTTTTCTCGGTTGGATCTTCCTGGCATGGAGCCATGTTGTAGTTTGCTCTTGCCGCAGAAACTGCCGCAAAGACTTCTTGACTTCTGTCTCCCTTACATACTGCATATAGAACCTGGCTAACAATAAACGTCGTGGACCATGGTTGTGCACCCGACAAAACCAGATTCCTTGTGGGTTCGGCACATTTGGGAAGGAGTTTCATTGGTTGGCGGAAGCAGGAATATGGGAGGTGTTTCCAGCTGGATTTCTAATGCAGCTTCATTGGGAGTTCCTTCTTTTCCCTGCTCTCGTCCGAAGTCAAACATGCGTTGGCCCACCCGTTGAGGCTTGGACCCAGGTCAAACGCACCCAATATTCCCCTGATATTGCCTGGGCAAAGAGGTGAGCTGAGCCTGACCCAAGTCTGGGTCCAAGCCCAAGTTCGTCCCTTTTGCTTGGAGAACTACCTGGTTGTTATTTCCAGATGCAAGCCTTGTACCTTCTGCCATTTTGTGTACACTTCTTTTTGACTAACATGGTATTGCGGGGGGACCCCCAACTACTTCTTTAAGCTAAGAAAGACCGTATGGAAGACCTTTCTTCCCCACTACTCATATTGCAGACGCACTTTTTCTTTCGTATCCATCAAGCCCCATCAAGCGCCAGGTTCGCCCAAGAGTTCGTGCGGCGAACATGGGTGAGACTGGCTCCTTGTTCAAAGGACAATTCAAGCGCTTGTGTGAAGCATGGGTCATAGCCTATGCTTTTATTTGGGGCGGATGAACACCCATGTACCATCTATTTTGATGTTCACCAGGGGTACAGGGTTTGACCCACAGCCACGTTGGTACTCACGTGGATTCCAAAAAGCGGCATTCTGTCCGAACGAGCTCCCGTCAGGGGCATTGCCCACCTAGCCTCCACGGCGGGTTCGCTCGGTTTTTGGGGTCGATGGCCGAGCTTTTGCTTTTCTTTCATCTTAAAACAATTGTAGTTTCTCGGCTACCTGGTAGTCAAAGAATGGAGCCCCGGCTAGATACCCTTGGGATCTCTCCAGATGCCGCTCCTTTTTTTCGGGGGAGCTCTGGGGCTAGGATGGGGCCAGGAAAAAACGCCCAAGTCGCAGGGCTCTTCCCTTCCAGGGATGTTCAGCGAGCTGCCCCCAGACATGGCAGGCGTTGAGCTGAAGCGACAAAGCTGGGACCTGCAGTTGGAGCGCCTGGAGGACCTGCGGAGGCTTGGACCCTCGGATTCGAAAATCGATCGAGTCAAAACGGATCAAGCTGGGAGGAGTCTGGCTGGTTGGCTGCAAATGACAAACCGGGGGGGGAAGAGGCATTCTGGGGCAAATGGAATTAAATAGGTGGCAATGCAAAGCATGTGGCAGTGTGGCAGTGCGGAAAGTTGAGGTGAGTCTCTTTGAATTCCAGACAAAGGTGGGTTTAGGCTTTTTTGGGATAATACGTTTGGGTGGCTCGTAGAATTGGACATCCCCTCCGGGTGGTTGGTTTCTCTGGGGTTGGTCTGTAAAAAACTGTTTCCCTTTGATGAAACCCGGGAATTGATGGGTGACCATCAGCGCGCTGGTGACGCTTGAGCAAACCACATCCCCCTCCAAGCGAAGCAGCGAAGCCGAGGATTCTACGGAGGTGGCCATGACCCCTTCGTGGTGTTGGCTACTTGGACTCGAGACGACTACGGTGAGTGGTCTGGCACCGTCTTTCGTTTGCAGATTTCTTTCAGCGAAAACCGTCCGCAGAGGAAGTTTTTGGGGCTGCATCCCGAACCGGAGAACGCCTAGCAAGGGTGGTTTTACCCTTGCTTGGGCACGCTCCGCCCTTCCGACTTGAATTCATTTGGGGGCACGTCTCCATGTGAAGCTTGGGACTGGGTTTCCCGGCGAGCTGACAAATCTTTCAACCTTGTTTGGGGAAATGTCGGTTCCCCACCAAGCAACATGTGTGTTTGTCTTTTTTGAGGGGACTCCCAACATGGTTGTTTTCCGGCTGGATGCGCTTCAAAAACCACCAAAAGGGGTACCCTCGAAAAATGACGGGCATGTATCTTCTTGGAAGGGGGTCAGTTGGACCTTTGTTGACCACAGGGGTCACACCGAAAGGAGCCACAGGAATCAACCCAAAGCTAAAACACGATGGTAATATGTCCAGCTCTCCCTCACGTGGGACGTTTCTTTTTGGGTTTTGGTTTCAAAGGCAACCCCGTTTTGTACTGCAAAGATTCAGGGGAACCCACTTAGGATCTAGCTCACAGTTGGTGTGAGGGGGGCAATTTTGCCATGACCATTGACTTCCTTGGGCCACAAAAGAAAAAAACATGACTTTTCCTATGATAATGGGACATATCATGTTTCTCCCGTGCTTTTCCAACCAATCGTCCCGTGTTCATGAGACCTTTTGATCAAGCCTATTGGCAATTCGCAGCCACTTGACAGATGCAGCCACTTCCCAAGCAAATAGAAACAATTGCCCATTGTTTGGGGGCCCTAAAAAATCAACATTGATCAAGCCTATGGGCAAGAATCCAGAACTACATTCATCCTTTGACCCCAAGACATCAACTCCAAAAACCTCGAAGCACGCAAGAAAGGCAGCTAGATTCCGCCGCTTCCCCAAGCGGGGGTACCTTCCCCCTTCTTTCCAGGGATCCTTTTTTCTAGAAAACCTCCGGAAACCCAGAGAAATAGCTGATTTTAGTCAAGAAATAACGACCCCTTAGCCCCCAAAGGCATGGTAACTTGCCTAGTTGTGTGGTCACTGATGTGAGGTTTGCTTGAGGCCACTTTGGTTTAGGTTGAGGGTTGCATGTCATGACAGACTTGTCGAACGGCAAACGCCGTTTGGCTCAAGCGCACATCAAGAGAAACAGCGCTGAGTGCGGAACGAGAGTCTAGGAACCACCCCCTGAACCGCTGAGGGATTAACCACGGTCAATCCACCTCTTTTTGTTCAGGGCGCAGCCTTCGGCGCGCGTTTGGGGTTTCTTGCTCTTTTGATTGGTTATCAGCCGTATAGCCTTTCTTTCGGGATTAACTAGGCCCTCCCTCAGCGGTTCCCCCATAAGGGGGCGCGCATGGCCGTTGAGGAAGAGTACCACAAGCGTGGAACTCGCGGAGGAGCCGCAAACAAGAAGCGTGTGTGGTGGGAGCTCCAGGAGGACGTGATCGACGAGGTCGAGCAGCGTTTTGGGTTTACACCACCCAAGCTGCAGTGGGAACCGGGGTCAGAGGTGCAGCTTGCTGCCCTTCGGGCCTGGAACCGGGACGTCACCGAGCAGCGCTGGGAGGAGCTTCACAGGTGGCATCAGCCTACGGCCCTTCGCATCCGGGCAATCCGCGAAGAAGAACGAAGGGCCGCAGCCACTGGCGCGGCAGGTGCAGATACAGTGCCTGCCACTCCCTCGTCTCCGACCCCATCCACACCGCCTCAGCAGCAGCAGGCGGCGCATCCTTCCGTGGCCCAGCAGGCTTCACCTGCTGAGGCTTGGTTGTCTGCTCCGGCTTTGCCTACAGCGAGGACCGCAGCCCACGGCGCGGTGGCTGTACAGCTCCGAGGAGAAGGACATCTACGACCTCCACACGGTCAGTGTCAAGGCAAGTTCTGCGAGCAGTTTACTCTCAAGTACCTATTGTGCTTAGGTCTCGCTCTCGGTCAAGAACTCCGACACCGATCCAGGAGGCCGCAGCCCTCGGCGCGGCAGGCGAGTCGAGCAGTCGGGAGCCTTCGGGAACCCGCAGAACTCCTCGCCCGACGACCAGTCGATCCTCGCGTGGCAGATCAAGGAGTGTGCCATCAAGGACCTCGCCAACCGACAGGCCGATCGTGCTGGCGCCAAGGAGCTCGGCCTATCCGACGGTTCGCATCGATCGGACCGGCACGTGGACACTGCAGAGGGAGCAGCCCTCCGGCGCTCCACGGGCATTTTCAGGCCGAGCCCGATCACGTTTGCCGCAGTTCAGTGATCCTCACGAGCTGCCAACGGACGTGTGGCTCCGCCCCGAGGCCTACGGGGAAAGGTCCAGTTCCTCGACCCCAAACTACGGGAACGCGGAGGTTTACCATCTGGCAGACTACTCCGACGGGGACACAGTGCACAACACCGAAGATTTGCTTTCAGGCAGAGCAGCATTCCGGGCGGGTGGGGTATACGAAGCACCGTTTCATCGACCTACATCGCCGGCCCCACCTCCGGCCCCTGCTACGAAAGCCACAGCAAAGTTTGGGACGCGGCCAGCGGCGCGGGGAACAGTTGCAGCATTTTTGGCAAGCAGTCGCGGACGTGTTTTGAGCAAAGCAAGATCTTCTTCGCCTCCACGCTCAGCAGCACCGCCAGCCAGAAAGGCTTCTGTCCCTGCAAGCAGCCGGCCTGGCCCACACATCAGGTACAAGCAACCGCCGGCATCGTTGAGGTTGCCACCAAAAGGGCAGGGAGCAGCCTTTGGCGCTCCAGACCCACCTTGGCGACAACCGCCGAAGCGAGAGCCACCTCAGCCTCCTCCACCAAGGCGAGAAAGCCACGGGATCCCAGATCCCCCACCTCGGACACCCCTCGCGGACCGGAAGACGCTCAACATCGTTCTGGACTGGCACGGGGTGCTCGACGTGAACATCCGCTCTGGGGGAAGGCTTCACCCACAGATCGTGGACGGATTGATTCGTCTACAGACAGCTCACGGTCCGTTCAATTGGATTATTTGCAGCTATTGTGGGGTCGAGCGCGAGCGAACTACGGCACCGGAGATCGCCACAGCAAGGGTACACTTGGCTTACAAGGGCATCTACGTTGGTACAACGCAGTTCACGCGCTCCAGGGTTGGCGTTGCTGGCAAAGCAAACCTTTTGCACGGTTGGGCAGCACATATCCTTGTGGACGACAACGCCACAATCTGTCGTGAGGCGCGACTTACAGGCGCGCACGCTTTCAGGGCGTACCCCAGCCAGGGGGTGCAGGGGACTTTGGACGCATTGATTGCCATTGAGGAGTGGTTGGATCAAACCAACCGAGCGACCATTCAGCCTGCCCGTGCGCTCACTACCGCAGAGCTCCTTGAGGAGGTTCGCAGGTAGTAGATCACCTGGTTCTCGCGACAGGGGTGCAGCCGTTGGCGCACCGAGGATATTTTCTCATCCTGTGCAGGGAGCAGCCGTTGGCGCTCCGAAGAGCTGTGGCGCAAAGACGCACGAAGTCACACACATTTCCAATCGCACACAACTGCATTGGTGAGCCTTCACATTTGCATCCAAATTGCAAACAAAAGGTTTAGGTTCAAAGGAGATTCCCCATTATCAATTAGTGAGGTATATCAATCCTTGTGTGACTGAGTGCGTTGCTGCATCATTCAATAATCTACGTTGAGTGTAGCCGTAAGTGCACATCTCATAATCCCACCAGGCACAAATCACCGGCCTTGGAGAGTGCTGCCTTTGGCGCACTGACTTGGTTCGCGTGTGCAGGAAAAGCTATCGCATCCGTGCGGCTCAGGCATGAATTCCTCTGGTATTACGCCCCCATCCGAAGATAGGTCTAGATCCTCACATGGCACAGACTATGATGACCCAGACCTTGCGGGTGCAATGGTGCCAGCCATGTCTGTTGTTAGGCATAACCCTAATAGCCCTGCACCAGGTTCCGATGCAACCCCTGTTAGGCGTATGTTCGTTTCAGAACCATCCTCATCAGAGCCGGCTGGAACGCCCGATCCAACCCAGAACCTCCCAGCTGCTGCATTTGTTGCGGGTGCCGCCGTTCAACGTGCTCACCATGCTTCCGATGTCGCGCTTCAGGCCGCTGAACATGCACAGCAACAGCAACTGCTGGCTGAGCAGGCCCGAAGGGAGGCGGGGGAACTCCGGGAAGCCGCCCAACAAAGGGAAGGGTTGTTTAGGCATCAGGCAATGAACCTTGTAACCCAGGCTCAACAGGCCGTGAGCTACGCACGCGAGCATGAGTTCAATGCGAGGCAACAGGAGGAGGCAACCAGGCAACAGGCCGAGGTGCTTAGGCTTCAGGCGCAAACTGTCGTTTCTGAGGCCCATCAAGAGGTAGGTCAGACTAGGGCTTTAGCTGAAAGGTACGCAGCAGAGGTTCGCAACAGAGCTAATGCTGAACAGGCCCAGGCCCAAGCTCAGACCCAATACCTTTATCAAGAAGCACAACGTGCCGTAGCCGAACGTGATGCCACCATTCTAGCTCTGCAAGAGAAGGATTTGCAACAAGCGTCTAGGTTAGCCGAACTTGAAAGGACGGTTTCCCTTTTGCTTGAAGTCCGTCAGCCTCCGACTCGCTCGCCGCAAAGTGCCCCGCAAGCACAAACCGATAATGGTACGGATTCTAATACCCCTCAACCCAAACGGTCGCATAACCGGAGCTCCCCCATTTTGGGCGGACAGGATGTGTCAATGGGTAACCAAGCAGGGGCTTCATCCAGTGGATTGCAAGACCAAGCAAACCAGCAGAGTGGACTTGATAGATCCTCACAACAGGGTTTAGATAGTGCCGCACCTCAAGTGGGTCCTCATCATACAACTGGTGTTGACTCGGGCGCCCAGCCCGGTGCTTCCTCTGCCAACCTGCATGTCACATTCCAGGATGTTGCAACCCCACGTGATGTTGCCGCAGGAAGTGTGGGACTCGCCAAGAGCCTTGCCCCTACCGGCC